GTTGGGATTAGCTGAATTTGTTTGATCTCACCTCTCTTTGAAACTAATTCTAATGTCTATACACAGCCTATGCCAAGTCAGCAACAATCCTGAGCTAAATAAAGCATCTCCATTAGCTGACTTCCTCATGCAGTTCTCTCCACGCCTCTCACTAGGCTATCAGTGCACTGAAGCATGGACAGGGAAGGAAGAAAGGTCTATTGACAGAGTCAAGATCTCCTCTGGGACAGGGCTAAAAGTATCATGGTTTAATTCAAAACCCACACAAATCTATTTGTAAGTAAATGCTGTTAGATGGCATCATAATGGATAGTGCATACCTTTAAATTGATTTCCTTTTGATGTGATAAAAACATCTTATGAAAGAGAGGTTGAAGCATGGCTTTTGATGTAAAGTAACATAATTTAGATTTTAAAGTAGAAAACCTTTTGTTGATAGTAGTTTATTTGATTCAGTGCAATGTACCAAGTGTTAGTTGCTGTAAGTTATAAATTGGCTTTGAACCGGCTGTAATTCATAAATCATTACTTATGACTGATTTATAGGAAATCTCATTAATTGTAATGGCACAGAGACCTTGAAACAGGCAGGAAGCAGAAAATAAAACTAAGTCCTGGGAAAAAGGAGTAATAATAATGTCACATTTGCCTGTGTTTTAATGACAGCGTATTCCTGATCACAGCAGTTATTCCTTAATACAATGTTGAATAAGAGATGATGCTATTGCTTCTATTTTACAGAAGAAGAGGGATCTGAGGACCCTATCACCTTATTTTTAACATGTAATAAATATTTATAGCATGTTGCTTATTACAAAGCAGTAACTTTCTTAATGAAAGGCTTTTGAGTGGATTCAGTTATGGCCCTTTCATGACGGGAAGAGTGAAGTATAGAGACTTAAAATAACTTTCCCAATTCCATCTCAGTGAGGTTCATACAGATCTAGGAACACAGGAAGTCTCATATCACAGCCTTCTCTCTTGTCCATCAGACCTGGCTGTCTTTATTGTAACAAAGGAAAAGGTAGCAAGAGCCAAGTAAGGAATTAGCATCTTCCCTCCTGTGCTATTTCCATTCAACCAGTTATTTCCACTTGTATTGTCAGAAACTAGGATTCTGAGGAAGATCATGACATGGGGGCTGATTGAAAAAAAAAGGGAGGAGAAAAAACTTAAGACTTCAACTCAAAAATATTAATTGGTTTTTGTATCAGGGACCTTACATGGGAAAAAAAATCATTCCCAGTAACCCCAAGAGGTGTGTGTTGGGGGCGAGGGTTGGGGGTGACATATGCAAAACTATACTAAATCTCACAAATGAGAACTTGCCTAGGACCATCCTCACTGGAAATGTAGACAGTTTTCGACTGGAAATGGAAGCCCAAAATGATTTTTTTAAGGTCATGTTTTAATTTCCAATAAAAGAAAACTCAAATTTAATTCAAGACATAGAGCCTACCAACCACACTGTTGGCACAACATAAAGGGGTAGAACTATACAATGGAGTAGAACTATAAAACCCATTGACTGGGTTAATATGGTGCCTTGGCCCTGTTATTTCATGGTTGTTTGCAATGGATGTTTTTTGATATTCACATATGGAGAGGCTAGCAGGTCAGGAGATGAGTGCTGATGAGAAGAGAGCTCTTGCTTATAATTTTCAAGAAGAGAGAGCACACCATAGCATGCAGAGGCCATGCTGGAAACCACCAAGGTCCATCAGGAGGTAGAAGAAATGAGGGGAAAATGTGGACAAGAATCTTCAATGTGGTTTTTAAGGCAAGACAGGATAAGCAGATTATGATTGGGTAGGTTGGGTAATTTTGAAAGCCTCTGGGACAGAGGGGCTGCCCCTGTTTCCTGGTAGCTGGTCCTGAGGTGATTAAGACAGTGAGATACTGGTCAAATACAAGGGTTCTTTGAAAACCCAATAAAGGAGGGGACCAGGATTTTGGCTCTGGGTTGGTTGGTTTGCATAGGAAAGTCATGCTTATAGACAAGTCCTTTCTTATTTCTAGAAATTGGGTAGGGATGATACAGCCCATTGTTCCATGCTCAGCAAAGTTCCAGATATCTAAACATTAGCAAGTGCAGAAAATTAAAAGAAATTATTACTATATTAGAACATATCACTATATGTACAGAAAGAGCTGCAATACGATATTAACCATTCTACACATTTGTAACCTCATTTTATTTAGAGCCAGACACAGTGTTGGCAGTAGACTAAGAGGAAACCATCAGATGTGGCCTGTCTTTACGTGGTTCACATAATCACAGCATAAGATAGTGTGAAAAGTCAATCTAGAAATGCAGCAGCCCTGAAAAAGGAAGCAAAGTGGGTGGTCAGTTATAAAAGGCCAGGGAAAGAAAGAGGAACTCAGAACCTATTAGTCAAGTTTCTTTGCTGCAATAGGGAAGGAGACCAAAATAAGCATTTAAAGCCAGAAAACAATGTTGAACTTTAAATATCACCTTCTATGATCAAGGTCCCAGTTGGGTGTGGTAGTACATGTCTGCAACCTCAGCTGCTCAAGAAGGTAAGGCAGAAGGATCCCAAGTTTGAGATCAGCCTCAGCAACTTAGTGAGGCCCTAAGCAACTTAGAAAGACGCTGTCTTAAAATCAAAAATAAAAGTATAAAGGGCTAGGGATGTGGCTCAATGGTAAAGCACTTCTGGGTTTAATCCCCAGTACCAAAAAAAGCAACACAAACAAAACAAAATAAAAAAAAAACAAATAAACAACAAAACAAACAAAAAAATAAATAAAAGAAAACAAAACAGAAACCAAAGTCCCTTTGAGGAGTTTTCTGAATATATGCTTAAGGATTGCTAACGACAGCTGCTTTTCCTGTGGAGGACATCTCCTATTATTGGAAAGAGCCACTTCTGCATCTTGTGTAAGTTATGGAAATGTAGCTATTCACAACTGTTCATTTACATTGTGAATCTCACCAGAAGAGAAAGATTAGGTCCTAAAGAGGAGATAGCCCTTTTTTCTAAAGCCCTTCATGTCCAGGGGAGGACATGGAAGTGATGACCATGGATCAGGACCTTTTTCTGTCCTTGGCTTCTTTCCAAGGCTTACTTTAAACAACTGGGATATCTTCCTAGCAATTCTTGCTGGTAGTTCCTTCCAAAGAGTTACTCTCTCCCATATTAATCCAACATTATTATTCTTCAGAACAAAGCTGAGAGCTGCCTTCTTTTCTAGAAATAAATGCCTGCAGGATGAAATGGGGACTCTTAAGTTTGAAGGGACCAGCTCTCAACGTCTAGACCCAATCTCATCTCCATTTCCTTTATCACTCTCTTTTCCAATTCTTCTGTTCTATTGAGGAGGACATGTTTCCTATTCCCTGGATATACTAGCATTTGTTATGTGTCTCTGTCTTGACTCAGGTTGATTTTTCTGATTAAAATACCCATCTTTACTTTCTTCCCAGCCTCCGCAAAACCAAGAGTAGATGAATTTCCTCTTTAAAACACACTGATTTCTTAGTCTGGGTTAATTTACTCTGACATTAGTGCCCTTGTGCCAATGTGGCTTGTTGCATAGAAAGAAACACATAATACTGTATATTATATGTTTGCCCGTCTGCCTCACCCTTTGAACTAAAAGCCCTTTGGGGGTTAGGGTTATATTCTTTATCTTTACATGACCTGTCCTTAGCAAACTATTTGATATGATAAATATGATGATGATGATGATAACAACAACTAACATTTATTGAGTTCCGACAATGTGGGAGGTGTTACTCTAAGTTCCTTATGTGCATCAACTCATTTTATTATTCTCATACACTTAAGGGCTGTGTAATTGTCATTCTATTTTTGCAAATTAGAAAAGGAGATTGAAGAAGAGAAAGGAGTAGTAACTTGCCCAAGGTGATACAAAGTAGGTTCTAAATTATTGCATTTTTGCTAGAATGTGGTGAGCTCTCCCTCTCTTTTTTCTTTCTAAAAGATTTATAGAAGGAACAATGCATATTGAGATGAGAAATTAGGGGGGAAACAAACTACCCAGTCCATGATAATCTAGTTGGGTGAGGACTATACTAGAAAACAAATATTGTTTTAGAAGTCTTCCTTTTGCTAGCAAAAAGAAATAAAGTGAGTTGCTGTATCTACAAATCAGTAAGAGTAGGGACATAAGGCACAATAGTCCTGTTATGCAAAATTTTTCCTGAAAATAAAAATTATACTGCTTTAGAAATGATTTAATATGTGATTTGTTTGCCTAGAGGTAGTAGTTACTTATATAATAATGAGTTATGGATGTGAAAAATCTCACGAAATTTATGTACATGTATACACGTCACTATTTCAGTACATCTTCAAAGGTACCTTAAATTAAGATGCCAGTACCTACAGCTGATATTATCCCCCAATACAAGGTAACCCTTGTTTAAAAGGGCCTATTTGGGTTAATGGTCTGCTATCACTGATTCTAAATTCTTTATAAGTTTTAAACAACACACCCACATTCTAACTTTACACTGGGGCCCATGAATTATGTAGCCACTACTGGATAAAGTTATTTTTTTTTTAATTCTATAGCCCATGGTGCCTGGCATATACAATGACTTCCCATGAAAAATCAGTCTTTACTAATTTTTGGCAGGGTATAACCCCCAAATCCTATTTTTTTCCAATCTGTCATGGACACTGAAACTAACTGTAAAATTCAACACATCTTTTTTTTATGAGCTTAGGTCACACTCAGTTGATGAGCACTGTATTAGGGCTCTTCCCATCATTGGTCCATTTCTCTGTGATTGTACTTCTGATAGAGTGCCGGCTATGGACGGTTGTTAATTTGGAAGGCAGAGATATTTCCCGTGAATAATGGGCCACAAAGCTCAATAAGGGACATTAGATTTGTTGTCTCTTTCAATATGGCAAATAATGGTATCAGCTGATATACTGTATCACTAACATTCTCCAGAAATTCACCTACTGAAGCTCTAATACCCCTTTTTTCCTCTTCTTTTTCAGATTGTTTGAACTCCAGACGGACCAACACCAGATAAATTATGAATGTTGAACAAGATGACCTTACATCCACAGCAGATAATGATAGGTCCTAGGTTTAACAGGGCCCTATTTGACCCCCTGCTTGTGGTGCTGCTGGCTCTTCAACTTCTTGTGGTGGCTGGTCTGGTGCGGGCTCAAACCTGCCCTTCCGTGTGCTCCTGCAGCAACCAGTTCAGCAAGGTTATTTGTGTTCGGAAAAACCTGCGTGAGGTTCCAGATGGCATCTCCACCAACACGCGGCTGCTGAACCTTCATGAGAACCAAATCCAGATCATCAAAGTGAACAGCTTCAAGCACTTGAGGCACTTGGAAATCCTCCAATTGAGTAGGAACCATATTAGAACCATTGAAATTGGGGCCTTCAATGGTCTGGCGAACCTCAACACTCTGGAACTCTTTGACAATCGTCTTACTACCATCCCGAATGGAGCTTTTGTATATTTGTCTAAACTGAAGGAGCTCTGGTTGCGAAACAACCCCATTGAAAGCATCCCTTCTTATGCTTTTAACAGAATCCCTTCCTTGCGGCGACTAGACTTAGGGGAATTGAAAAGGCTTTCATATATCTCAGAAGGTGCCTTTGAAGGTCTGTCCAACTTGAGGTATTTGAACCTGGCCATGTGCAACCTCCGGGAAATCCCTAACCTCACACCGCTCATAAAACTGGATGAGCTAGATCTTTCTGGGAATCACTTGTCCGCAATCAGGCCTGGCTCTTTCCAGGGATTGATGCACCTTCAAAAACTGTGGATGATACAGTCCCAGATTCAAGTGATTGAACGGAATGCCTTTGATAACCTTCAGTCCCTAGTGGAGATCAACCTGGCCCACAACAATCTCACATTACTGCCTCATGACCTCTTTACACCCTTGCATCATCTAGAGAGGATACACTTACATCACAACCCTTGGAACTGTAACTGTGACATACTGTGGCTCAGCTGGTGGATAAAAGACATGGCCCCCTCCAACACAGCTTGCTGCGCCCGGTGTAACACTCCTCCCAATCTGAAAGGGAGGTACATTGGGGAGCTCGACCAGAATTATTTCACATGCTATGCTCCTGTGATTGTGGAGCCCCCTGCAGACCTCAATGTCACTGAAGGCATGGCAGCTGAGCTAAAGTGTCGGGCCTCCACGTCCCTGACGTCCGTGTCTTGGATTACTCCAAATGGAACAGTCATGACACATGGGGCGTACAAAGTACGGATAGCTGTGCTCAGTGACGGTACATTAAATTTCACGAATGTAACCGTTCAAGATACAGGCATGTATACGTGTATGGTGAGTAATTCTGTTGGGAACACTACTGCTTCAGCCACCCTGAATGTTACTGCAGCAACCACTACTCCCTTCTCTTACTTTTCAACTGTCACAGTAGAGACAATGGAACCTTCTCAGGATGAGGCACGGACCACAGACAACAATGTGGGCCCCACTCCAGTGATTGATTGGGAGACCACTAATGTGACCACCTCTCTCATGCCACAGAGCACAAGGTCAACAGAAAAAACATTCACCATCCCAGTGACTGATATCAACAGTGGGATCCCAGGAATCGATGAGGTCATGAAGACTACCAAAATCATCATTGGGTGTTTCGTGGCCATCACACTCATGGCGGCAGTGATGCTGGTCATCTTCTACAAGATGAGAAAGCAGCACCATAGGCAAAACCATCATGCTCCGACAAGGACTGTTGAAATCATTAATGTGGATGATGAGATCACAGGGGACACACCCATGGAAAGCCACCTGCCCATGCCTGCTATCGAGCATGAGCACCTAAACCACTATAATTCTTACAAATCTCCCTTCAACCACACAACAACAGTTAACACAATAAATTCAATACACAGTTCAGTGCATGAACCGTTATTGATCCGAATGAACTCTAAAGACAATGTACAAGAGACTCAAATCTAAAACATTTACAGAGTTACAGAAAACAAACAATCAAAAAAAAAAAAAAGAGACAGTTTATTAAAAATGACACAAATGACTGGGCTAAATCTACTGTTTCAAAAAAGTGTCTTTACAAAAAAACAAAAAAGAAATTTATTTATTAAAAATTCTATTGTGATCTAAAGCAGACAAAATGATGTGTATTCCTCAGAACCTGTTTTTGCTGCAGTTATTTACTATTTTCCCACATCTCGTCCCTCCCTTCCCCGATTGCCATATTTTTCATAGATCTCAATTCCCTAAAGAACTGGTCTAGGAAATTTTGTAAGAATTCTGTTACACTTTGAGATTTTTATGGTGAATTCTAGTGGTGAGATCCAGTCTATTTTGTCTCTCTCGCTCGCTCTCTTTTATTTTCTTTTTCCCTCATACCCTTATGAAGTAGTCCAATGGGGAATGCAATATTAGAAATAGATTTTTAAGAAAGAACAAGAAAGAAATGCAAGATCTTATATTTTTCATGTAATAATCTGTTCTGTATTTATGAGGAGGACCATTCTATGGAAAAGAAAAGTAAAACAAAGTAAGCAAACAACAGATTAATTTACATATGAGCATCTATAAAACCCATGACTTTTAAACAACTCTAGAACCAGAATTTGTAGTTCAAAAGCTTAAAATAAGATTATAAATAAAATATTGTTGGTTTTTCTGTAACCTGGACACAACTCATTTGTAGTATGGCTCAAATGTGAGAAACATGAAGGTTAACTAGATTTCCTACTTTCTAAGAAAGAAAATACTGGAGTATTGTTTAGTCCCAGTGTCAATCTCTACAGGATCCTGCTTCAGTAGTTAACTTGAACTTCAGATCAATATTCAAGGATGTTGTGGTATTTTTTTCCTTCTGATTAGAATTACCCTTTATAGAATGCTCAGATTTCAAAAACTGATTTTGTGATATAAATTCAATTCCTCTTGGAAGGAAGTATCACTATAATTTATTTATTGTCTCCTAAATAAAATTCCACTGACCAGAGGAAATATGAACATAAAAAGGTAGAAGTATTCTACCTTATCTGCTGTTGAAAGCAAATGTTTTGATTCTGAGTGTTAGCAAATTCAGTTCAATTTGACAATTATTAAAGACCTACTATGTGCTAAATAATAATTTGGGTATTGTGGGTACACAAATGATAAGACTTGGTTCCTGTCCTTGACTCATTCCCAATCTATATAGAAAGACAAGAAAAAAAATCTCAGTTTATTGCTGGGTGTCAGCTCTAATTTCTGCTAGGTAGAAAGCTATATATTAGGACTCTGAAAATTCAGAAAATCAGGTTATGCTATTACAGAAACACCCTCATGTGGTTCATTCCATCCTTTTGAAAGGGTTGAATTTCTTCTTCCATAAGCTGATTGCTTAGCTTCAATGAAGTATGAGTATAGATTTGCTCTGAAGGACAAATACATACTAGTAGATAGCAATACTAATACAAATATAATTTATTAAGGGTGCTTTTTAAGGAACTAGGGAAATTCGAGATAAGAAAACATATACAAACTTCCAAGTAAGAAAGGGAAATTGCTGGTTGTACACCTCAGTCCCCTCCTGATATTTTAATATATTATGTGTGTGATTCTGTCTCATCTATGTGAAGCAAAATTACTATATAAAAAAATCTCATCACTGGCCTTGAAATTAGCCACCCTGATGGTGAAACAAGGATCGACAAAGCTGAAGAAAGCTTCAGCTCCTAATGGATGAAGAGCTTGGATACTCACACTTAATTCTGCAGGTGGGATCTCACGCCAGGGTTTTGTGGTCTCCAGGTGTGAAAAACCAATCATTACCAGCAAAGTAGGTCAGAGAAATGGAGGAAGGGATAGCAAATGAATGGGAGCGTACAAATGTCGTGATTCTATTTTTCGATCACTCATTCTCTGACATTTTTTTTTTATCTCCTCCCTCCCTTTGTCAGAAATGTTATTCAGATTTGCTTTAACTGTGGAGAAGATCCAAGAAAAGAAAGAAAGAAAAAAAGAAAAACATGTTGGCTGTCATTTATTGGTTTATTTAGTATTGAAAATTCTTAATACAGTATTTCTAAGCTGCAGAAATCACACACACATGCACGCACGCACACACAGAAAATATCTACAATGGTATCAAGGGCAAGTATAGAAAAGAGAGATGTAAGTTAACAGGTAAAGGGATCTCGTTTGGTTTTGCCTGCCTTTTTCTGTTTACTGACTCACCTGTTTAATTATTAGTAGTTTTTTTTTTTTTTTTTTTTTTTTTTTTTAGTTCATAATTCGTATGTAAGTTTAATCCCAGTAAGTGATTACCCTTGGCTGAGAGGGGCAACTTTGCAGCTACACAAATTCTGTTAAACAAAATAAAAGGAGAATTTGCACTAAAAATATAGGTTATAATCTATAGCATCTGATTCAGGCCACCAGCAGATTATCATAGTCTGAACAAACACATTTTGGAGAATAATAATATCTTGATGTAAGATTTAAATGAGGCAAATTTGACTTTTACAGTAAATTTAGAAACTTCTCTGACAAAGGTCATCATTGCAGGTTTTGGGACTGGAGGATGGAGTGCTATGTAAATATGATTAGGAGAAAACTGAAGTGAATTCTAGATCTTTTCTGACTAACCACCTGTCTGTATTTGCTCCTCAGTATGATAGCTCCTGACTAAATATCTTAGAAATACACTGTGGACTTACTTGGATCCCAGAACATGCTGCTTTACATATGTGAGATATTCATGTAGGAAAGCACAATCCCATGTCCATTGTCCACTGCTCTATTTTATTCTTTGTAAGGACAGCTTTGTGGCAGTATTCTGAAATATGTGCACCAGAAATATGCCATTTGCATTTAACCAAATGAAGGTAACATAAGTGTGTGTGTGTGTGTGTGTGTATGAGAGAGAGAGAGAGAGAGAGAGAGAGAGAGAGAGAGAGAGAGAGAGTGAGTCCTACTAATGGTATGCATATTGCTTAGGGAAACATCAGAGATGGTTTAAAAAGAAGATTCTTCACATCTTTTTCTGTTGGAAAATATTACCCTTTACACCTGACTATGAGTGGGGTCTCTTAAACTTTTCTGAACATGTCCATGTACATTTGCATTGGCCAAGTGATAGAAGGATTTGGTACAGCTTACACAGACAGGCACCAATATAGTTTCGCAAATTTCCCTCAGATTCCAAATATTTTAGAGTTGAATATCATCTTTTAAAAGATTAAAATAGATCATTTTAATGTGAAACAGTGTTCAATTTTTTTAAGGAAGAAAATATTGCTAGTTTTGATGATTACATTTTAGGCATTATAAACAGAGAATTTAAAATTAGAGTATTCTTTTGGAATGGTGTACCATGAAATTATCAATATAGATGTACTAGAAAATAACTTCAACAATGGAAGGTTTGTTTCTCTTGAAAAAAAAAAACACAAATAAAACACTGTGTTTAAAATAGGACTTACTGAAACATTAAAAAAAAATTAAGTGGTAGCACCAGAGTACCCAACATTTCCAAGGTAAATATTTACCAAGGTAGAAAAAAAAAATCCTGTCTTTCATTCTTTTGGAATAATTGTCAATACATTTAGGTAACTAAATGATTTAGATAAGTACATAAAACTACAGTACTCTGTAGGAATATACATTTTAAATAATGTGTTCAATTGCTCATTTGGTGCTTCACTTACTAGTTTGAATAATGTAATTATTAAATATCACCAACAAGGGTTGGGATGTAGTTTGGTGGTATAGCACTTGCACGGAGTACACAGGCCATGGGTTCAATCCCCAGAATCGCCAAAAAGAAAAACACCAATGACACAATGTATGAGTGCCTGTGTTATATGTCATACTCTTCTAGGAAGCCATTTATATTTTTTAAATAAGATATGATTGCACAGAGACAAATCTCTTTAAGATAGGTGTTCACAAAACTATATATGCATCATTGTATTTGATTAGAATTTGATTTCTGTACAACAGCTTCTTCTGATAAGAGTAAGTCTAAAAACACACCTTCCAAAAATCCAGGTACCTGATAGTCTTTATTTTCTTCCACTAAGAAGCATGAATTCCTGAAAACTCTGTCTGCGGTAGGAAACAGCTGTGACACTATTATCTTCCTATGCTCTATCAGGATACAGAGCAAGATGCATCAGGTTTTATGAAAAAAAAAACTTCTAAAATTAATATAGCATACGGTCAATTAGGATCCAAATTTAGATTCTGAATGAAGCAGTCTCACAACATATGTCATGTTGTATCTTGACATACGGCTGACAGAACATCTAAGATTCCAACTTCAGCATCATTTAAGAAATATATTCAAATAATATATAAAATTATATGGCTGCATTTTATAACTAGTGTTTAGCAGTAGTAAGTATAGCTACTGTTTATTTTGCTTTTCCAAAGGATAAAGAGACAAAAAATCTTTCTGAAAGACAATAAATGAAGCTATTTTAATCAGACACCTGTCAATGGAAAAAAAAATTTGTTTTGTGAATTTTGTGCTGTGCAGTAAGTGAGAATATCCATATATCCTCTGCACAAAAGCAGAAAGCAAGAACCTAAAAACCTGCAGACCATGAAGCCTTATCTTTCAATATTCCATCTAATAATTCAATTTTCACATTTATTAATGCTTCACTTGATTATATATTTGACACTGAGTTACTGATGGTGACTTGTTCAAATAACATCAATTCTACCTTTATCTGGTTACCAGAAATAGTGAGCATAAGTTTTATATCCTGATGAATGGGAAGATACAATAATATTTAGAGGTGCTCATCTCTGTGGTAACACATTCTGATTTAAGACCTGCAACCTTGAGAACTTGCTGAAACATTCACCTAGTTCAGTCCTAGTATTTATTATGGAGAAAACTCAATATGGGTACCCCTAACATTTATTGTGTCAATATGTCAATAAGATTTCAGAGTGACAATCAGTGAATCTTCTTACTTCAGTCCTTAGTTCTACATTAAAAGAGATAAAAGCAAAATGGAATTTAGCAATTGCTATTTAAGCACAATTGCTAGTTTTATAAAATATACAGTTCTTGAAGAGAAATACATAAAACCCCAATCTTACTAAATATATAAAAATATACACAGAATAATTATATTTTATGGTATTACTTTTTTATGTTAGCTACTATAAAATTTTTAAGTCTAATAGTTTGTAATACTAGGAAAATCTTGGTTTTTTTTAAACTAATGGAATCATTATGAAAACTTAATAAAATTTGTAAAATGCCTCCAAGTTAAATGTTGAAGTGGACTTGCAAGTCTCATGGCTAGTTCTATTTAAAAAAAAAAATAAAGTTTTACAAAATGAAGGAGAGAAGTAATAAAGTTTCTCTTTCCAGTAGCCCTCAAGCAGGCTAACTCATGCTGAACGATGTTTCTCAGCATAAACGGAGAGCTAGAGAATGAACTTCAGGTAATTCTGACCTTAAAAATACTATTGTAGCTACGTATTCACACCTGAAACATTGCCAGAGAATCTTGCATACAAGTCATTCTACAAATAATTAACAGCAAAGTGTCTGTGCTCAATCGGGGTTTTCTTTGTCAGTCAGTACCTGTCCTTCTGTACTTCCATATGTAGGAGGACATTTTATCCGTGGTGTTAATTTCTCAGCATGTTTTCATGTTTTCCAAGGCAAC